CCTTTTAAGTGCTTCTTGGACGTCAGCATTGGCCCAGGATTGGCCGAAGAAGCAGGGATGCAAGGGTAGCCTTGATGAAGCAGCGCATCCTATGGATTTGACTGTACAGATACCTTCGTGCTGAAACTCACGAAACCAAAAACAACATGACCAGAACTTTTCGGAAGTCCGCGCTGACTTTTCTGGATCGGCGCTGGACCCTCCTCCCTGGCGTGCGGCAGGCGACAGGGGTGGCGCTGGAGGCGCCGCCACGGGGGCCAACGCGGATCCAAGAATCCCGCGCGGTCCTCAAAATAAAGCTTGTCCAGTGCTCTCTTCCGCGATTCGCCGTCAAAAGTGGCTGCTTGAGCCACGCGAGGCCTTGGTGCTGGTGTCGACCTCCGAGGCCCCGACTCCCCCCCGAGAATAAGACCGATCGCAACCACGTCGGACCGTTCAGGAAAGAGATCGGACCGATTACAACCACTGGAAATAGACTGATCGCAACGTGTATGACTCCTATTGTTATCCTACAGTGCGAGCGCTGGATTAAGCTTGCTTCAGCTTTCCTGGGCTTGACGGACTCTCGAGGATTCCTGAATGTTCCCTGAGGATTCCTGAAGGATTCTTGCAGGATTCCTGCAACATTCTTGGGGATTCCAACAGGATTCTTCAAGACTCCTGAAGGATTCGTAGAGGATTACTGCAGGATTCCTGAAGAATAGTTACCCAAAGGATTCCTGAAGGACCCCTGAAGGAAGAGGAGGAGGAGGAGGAGAAGGAGAGGTTGGACTTAATTAAAGGGCAACAAGGAGGAGGAGGAGGAGGAGGAGGAGGAGGAGGAGAAACATCATGATGATAGATCATGGGGATTAGGCTGACGATAAAGGGGGTGGATATGATGATGATGACAATGCTGCTGCTGATGGTGCTATTGTTGTTGATGCTGGTGATAAAAATGATCGTGGTGATACTGGTGATGGTGATGATGTTGATGATAGTAATGGTGGTGCGGATGATGATAATGATGATTGATTACGATCTGGAGAAGGTTGCCATGTTGATGCGCAGGCTGACGATTGTCATGGTGGTGCTGGTTATGACGTCGATGGTGATGATAATTTATACCTGGTGGCAATCGGTCCATCCCGCCTCCGTGCCGGGGTTGTGTGCCAGAGGCCTCTGGGATACCAATTGAAAGTACGTCTTAACGGTGAATGAAATCAACAGCGTAGTGTCAACAGCGTGATCTCAAAAGCGTAGTGTCAACAGCGTAGTGCCAACAGCGTAGCGTCAACAGCGTAGTGTCAACAGTATAGTGTCAACAGCGCAGTGTCAACAGCGTAGTGTCAACCAGCGGCGTAGCAACAGCGTAGTGTCAACAGCGTAGTGTCAACAGCGTAGTGTCAACCAACGGCGTAGCAACAACGTAGTGTCAACAGCGTAGCGTCAACAGCGTAGTGTCAACCAACGGCGTGGCAACAGCATAATGTCAACAGCGTAATGTCAACAGCGTACTGCCAACCCACATCGTACTGTCGACAGCTTATGGTCAACTGCGCGAACCAACGGCATGGCGTGAAATCCGAGCGTACCGTCGACCATCATTGTAATGCCAACACCGTAATCTCAACGGCGTAGTGACCGCAGAGTAATGTCAACAGCGTAGAGTCAACAGCGTAGAGTCAGCAGCATGAACCAACAGCGTAGCAGAAAACAACGTTGTAGCGTCGACCGAAAGCGTAATCTCAACGGCGTAGCGTCAACAGCGTGATATCAACAGCGTAGCGTCGTAGTGACAACAGCGTGGTGTCAACAACGCAGTATCAACCAACGGCGTAGCAACAACGCAGTGTCAACAGCGTAGTGTCAGCAGCGTAGTGTTGACAACGTAATGTTAACAACTTAGTGTCAACAGCGTAGTGTCAACAGCATAGTGTCTACAGCGTAGTACCAACAGCGTAGTTTCAACAGCGTAGTGTCAACAGCGTAGTGTCAACAGCGTAATGTCAACAGCGTAGTGTCAGCAGCATGGTGAACAGCGTAACATGAAATAATAGCGTCGCGTCGACCAACAGCGTAGTGTCAACAGCCTAGTGTCAGCAGCGCATGGTGAGCAGCGTGCTTTAAACAGCGTCGTGCCAACAACGTCGTGTCAACAGCGTAGTATCAACAGCGGAGTGCCAACAATGTAGTGTCGACAACGTAGTGTCAACCAACAGCGTACTGTCGACCGCGTATTGTCAGCCGTGGGCCAACGACATAAAGAGAAATCACAGCGCACCGTCGAACAACAGCGTAGTCTCCACAGCGTAGTGTCGACAGCGGAGTGTCAACAACGTAGTGTCAGCAGCATGAACCAAGAACTTACCGTAAAACGACATCGTAGCGTCGACCAACAAGGTAATGCCAACAACAGTCGCAGCATGAACCAACAACACAGCGGATTGCCTCTGTTCCCGTGCGGCCAGTTCATGGGCTCCACGAGTACTTTTCAACTGCGCAGCTGGGGTCTTGGGTGCAACTCCACATGGGGCCGCATAGCGCGTCAGGCGTGTGCCGAAACAAGCGGGGCGGCCGCATGTGAATTGCAGCCCTAGGTGAAGCTCCTTACGGACCCACGAAACGTGTGTGAAGGGTGTGCCGAAATTGATTGCATTTGTTTTTGGGGGTTTCCCACGCTCCGCTCCGAAACGGCTTCAAGGGCAACGCACATCGCCCCGAATCGGCTTGATTAAAAAGCCCCCCCCGAGAAAACGCGGAGAGAGCCCAAGACGCTCCCAACCAGGACCAAGAGGCCTACAAGATGGCCCAGGAGGGCTCCAATAACCAGACGTAGGACAGGAACCTGGACCCCCGAGACGCCTCCAGGAAGCCTCGAAATGCCCCTGTGCGGGGTAGCCTTTCCGGCAAACATCGGAAAAACGGTCGAGCTATACGACCCAAGCGCGTGTGCAATGCAACGTTTATTTTCCAATCAACCTGATTGATTGGCGGACATCGTTCCGCATGTGGGTAGCGCGAAGCTGCGTGGGTCCAGCTGCTCGCCGCACTGTCCCCCCACGCAACGCTCTCCAGTTGCTCCCTCCTTCCTTCCCCCTCCCTCCCGCGACACTGAGAGGGGGGTTAGCCGCGGGGGCGCCTGTTCGAATGGTGAAAGAAGGTGGGGCGGCTGCGCGTGAACCCCGCCAGGTGCGGCCATAAACTGGAGATCCACATGGGGCCACGTGCCGTGGGCCGGCCGCTGCGCCAGTGGGGCCTTTGGTGGAGCCCACTCTGGCGCCGCGAAACTCGCGAAGGGTGCATGGTTGGAGCGGCTGCATGCGAACGCCGCCAGTGGGACCTTAGGTCGAAGTCCCTGTGGGGCAGCGAAACGTGTGAGAGGGAGTGCCGACATATGTTGGGTGGCCGCGTGTGATCTGCGCCACTCGTGCCGTAAGGAAAAGCTCCCGATAGGCCACGACGCGTGCCGAAATGGGCGGGGCGGCAGGCGCCACTGGCGCCTGTGGTAGAGCTCCACGCAGCTTGGTTGCAAGGCGCGTCGCCTCTCGCCGCCAACTTGAGGCTGGTGCAAAATGAAGAGCCGTAGACGGCAACACCAACCACAGCATTTTGCTTCGACCGGTACTTCGCCACTGGTTTCAAAGAAGGCGCTCCTTTGCAAATTCGTCGACTTCGACACCGCCTTGTTCCGAGGCTTTGCCTCCTCCCGGCCTCGTTCTGAAGCTGCGCCTCCCCTTTCCCCCCCCCCTCTCTGCGTAATTCAAGCTTCGCGCGGCCCGCTTAGCTTCGACCAGAAGAGGTGCGCTCTCGACCCGCGAATCAAAAAAGTGGTGGAGTTCCCTATGGGGCCACAATTTTGAAGGTTGTGTCGATATGTTTTTAAAGAAAAAATCAGTCATCCCTATTTGGCCACACCAATTCCGCATTGAACGGGGATACAGGGTGCCTCGGGCACGGTGGCGGGATAGGCTTGAAGCCAGTGGGTGCTTGTAATATGCAGTAACCCTTAACATGTAGCGCGGTCGGTCCCAATGTAGCGTCAACAACGTAGTGTCAACAGCGTAGTGTCAATCAACTGCGTAATGTCAACAGCGTAATGTCAACAGCTCAAACTCATTCTGGTCGGTTCTGGGCGCGACGAGCAGGTCGCAACGCACTGTCGAGAGCACGTTGTCGGTAACGTGGTGTCAACAACGTGCTGAGAAAACGGAGAAACAAACAGTGTGAGCAAAACCGTCAACGGCGCAATGTCAAAGCCTCGCTAGAAGCGTGCAAGGAGCGTACAGCGTCTGTTAATACCAACAGCGTAGTGTCAACAGCGCCATGTCAAAAGTAAGAGGGTGCGAGCAGCGTACAGCGTCCCCTCTTTTTGTCAACAGCGTAGTGCCAACAACGCAATATCAAATGCAGGGGCGTGCAGGGAGCGTGCAGCGTCTACGGTTAATGCCAACAGCGTAATGTCAACAACGCAACGCAGTGTCAGAGGTACGGGCTGGTACAAATAGCGCCCAGCGTCTGTTTCTAATGCCAACGGCGTCAACCGCGCAGTGTGAGATAGTCAGGCGCGCAGAGCCTCTCCTCTCAATGCGTACTGCCAACAACGTAGTGCCAACAACGTAGGTGTCAACAGTGCAGTGTCAGAGATTCAGGAGCGCAGAGCCTCTCCTCTTAATGCCAACTGCCAACAACGTAGTGCCAACAACGTAGTGCAAACAGCGCAATGTCACATACTAGAAGCGTACAGGCTCTCCTCTTAATACCATCAGCGTAGTGCCAACAACGTAGTGTCAACAACGCAGTGTCACATACTAGACGCGTGCAGTCTCTCCTCTGAATGCCAACGACGTAATGTCAACAGCGTAGTGTTAATTCACCCGGCATTACGTGGTGTCAACAGCGTAGTGTGAATTCACGGTTTGAATTTTCAACTCGCTTTTAAGCGATACCTTGTTGCAGCGCAGCCAACTTGCGCCTCCGCTTGCCGCGGGAGGGGCATAATAGGCTGCGCGCGTTCCAAGTCAGGACTGAACGTTCTGCCTGGGGCAGCCCAGGAGGCCCAGTGCCGGCGAGGACCACGGCGCGTCGGAGCCCATCCGCGTCGATGAGCCGCAATCAATGCCGAGCCGTTTGGCCTCTGGCTGCTTCCACTCGGTCTTGGAAGGCTCGTCGGGGACGGTCGGGACGATGATCCTGGCGATCGACATTCGGTCGACCTTGACCTCGCCCTTGCCACGGTTGGGCCAAAAATCGAGCTGGGTGCACCTAAGTTCCAGGGTCCGGGCTAATCGCTTGGTCTGGAACTCCATCCGCTGAGAGCGTGGAGAACGGTCAAAATCAAAAATATGAGGGCCCTGCAGGTCCAGCCAGGGTGGGAGCGCTGACCTGCCGCCAGCGTCCGCCTGGGAACTTGAGGGTCTGGGCCAAGGCTAGAGCGCGGGCGTTGCCGACGACGCCACCGTGCACCTCGACATGGAATCGTCGGCCAGGGCCGGCGCCATGTATGGTGACGCGTTATGGCTGTAGTCCCACGGCCTGCAGCCAAATGCCGAAGGCATGCTGCACTTCACCCGGGGCTGTATCGTCCTTGGCGTTGACCGTGGCGACGTCTGATTCGGGGTCGCGGTCCCGCACGGACAAGAACACGAAGTCCGTGACGCCCGCGGCACGTTCCGCGATACGGACCGTTTTCTCGATTTCGCGGGCCTTGTCAGCGAACCTTGTCAGCGAGGGCATCCTGCTGGGCCGCAGTGGCGTCGACCCGTTCGGAGCACTCGTGGACCTCGTCGCGGAGCTCGTCGATCTTGCCGTCCAGCTTGGCGGCATGGTCGCCGACGAGGCTAAAGATCTTGTTGTGGAAGTCGGTTGTGACGGTCTGGCAGGCCGTCTCGAGCTGGGTTGCGGTGCTGCCCAAATTATTCCGCCAGGGCAGTGCGCATGTCCTCGGGACAGAAAGCCAGAAGTCGGTCGGCAAGCTCCTTGACCTGGTCACTGAAGGAGGGCCCGGCTAGCTGGGGGGCTGCAACAGGGCGTGCACCAAGAACCGCCGCATCAGCAGGAGGGCCACCAAGTGGCTGCCGCGGCGTCGCCACGGCTGGATTCTCGCCCTCCTCCTCCTCCTCCTCCTCCTCCTCCAACTTGGCATGCAGGAAATACGTCCTGAGGGGAACTGGTCGTGGACCCCAAGGCCTTGCTCCCAAATCAACTTTTCGACCCCGGTCGTTTTTTGAGGGTTCCAAGGCCCGGGAAGGGCTCCGAGAGCCTGAAGCCGGCAACAAAACCTCCAGGACCTCTTTCCCCTGAGTGCCCTTTTCCTTCATGGCTTGGCCCGCAAGAGTGACAAAATTAGGCAGGAGTGGAATGTTGAGCGGGCTTTACGGGGCAACGGGGGCCGGGGGAGGGGTGCCAACCCCCGAACCCGAGCGTGCCATGCCACTGCTATCGCGTCGCATGCGACGATCGGGGAACCCCAGTGGGCCCGGGCCACAGGTCGCTCTGGCAAAGGGCCACTCCTACGCGCAGAACGACGGCCAGAGGCGCCTCCGCCAGGATCTCCTCCCGGATCTCCGTCAGGATCTGCCTGCTCTGTGGGCGCCCCTCCGCTCTCCCGTCGCCCGTCGGACCCCGCGCCCCGCTCCTGTGCACCCGGCGGGGCTCCGCCTGGGATCCCTCCATCTCGCTTCCTTACATGTCGCTCCTCCTTAGAGCCCGCATGCGTGCCCGCGCCTTTGCCGGCCCACCCCTCGTGCGTTTCGTGGCCCCCCAGGGAGCTCCACCCAAGGTCCCAAGTTCTTCTCTTTTTTTTGTCCTTGCCCATTTTATGCGAGCCTCAATTTTTAACTTGTCTTTTCCCTTCTTTCTAACTGCCTTGCGGTGCACCTGCATTCGGGCGGGTGGTACTGGGGCGTGGCCGAACTGGGGGATTAAAAGAAGAACCCTAAAGGGGCTCTCTAGGGCCCTTTTTGAAGCCGGCAGGGACCCAACAGGGCCCCTACAGGGCTCCCGTCATCTTCCCCAATTAAGTGAGTCACCCCCCCCTTACCCCCCGCCCGATGCATGATGTCTGGCCCTTCGCCATGGCATGGCCGGGTACTTTGCTTAGCGTGTCGCGGCGGCGGCCTCGGCGACACGTTGTGCCCTGCAAGCGGATAGCGTGGTACTCCGCTCCGCGGAGCGGGAGGCTGGGCCTAGGCTCGGGATGTTGACGCTTAGGAATTGCGAAGCGTCTACCCTGTCGCCGCGCCAAAGCGTGGTGGTCCAGAATTGGCGGCGCGACACGCCATCCATCAATTTCGGACCGTAACTGCCTTTCCTCAAACATGTGATCATCGAATGCACATCGCGCCACCATTCTCCTTCCTCTCCTCACAACCCTTCTCATCGGCCTAGTTGCTCATCTCCTCCTCCTTCGAATCGACCACCCCTGGGAGTGGAATCTAGAGCGGGTCATCCATCGGTCGGAATATGTGGGTAGACACATGATGTAGGAAGGCATTAGAAATCGACTGGATCTCCGCCCGCCGCCTAATGAGGGAAGAGGGAATGCCGCTAGACTCTTGAAGTAGGAAGGCGCCTGACGTATAAGGGGACCTGGGAACCAAACAGCACCTAGTTTCAGCGACCCTTGGTCAAAACCGATCCTTTCCTATCCCTCCTCCTCCTCCTCCTCCTCAGGCCCCTTCGTTCTCCAATCTTGGAGGTCCTTAAAGATTCCGCGGGGCTCCCGGGGGTCCGCAGAGGCACCCAATGGCTGGAGAAAAAACAGAAGAGACGAGATGCCTCGCCAGAGAAAAGGCAGAATGACGGCGGAAAACCCGAATCCTTGTTCTTCTTCTTCTCCTCCGCAGCCTCCTGCAATTTCCTCCTCCTCCTCCTCATGATCCTTCAGCTTGCTCTATCTCCTTACCCTTTGACATGCTGTGCAGTGCCAGCGCGGCCGCACGCCGCCAGAACCCCCCTGCGAGACACCCGACCCCGACAGTCCGCGCGCGAGGTGCGACTGGGGAAGCCCAGATCAATCCGACTGCAGCAGTCCTGCACCGCCCGCGGGAACACAACGCGCAGCGCCAGAGGCGAAGAGACCCGAGGTGCCCCGACGAGGCACATCCAATTTCTTGGTGCGCGTCTCCACTGTGGAGTCGGACCTAGGCACTTAGGCCATAAGAACATCCCTTAAGAACATGAGAACCTCCGTCGTCCAAAACAGACAGAACGTCCAAGGGCACCCTTCCCAGGATGCACAAAAACACCCAACAAGCACGAAGAACACTAGGGTACCCTCCCCGAACCGACCTCGATCCTACACCTCGGTCCGACTGTACGGTATGTGCGCTGCCATCAAACATGTGCGCTGCGACGACCGGGCTTGGCAGCAGCGTGACCGCTCCAAAGCGGCTGCCTGCACTGCAGCGCTTCTGGCTGCCCCGTGAGGACGGCTAGCCTTCTCCTCACTGAGTGCTAACGTCATTCTTCTCCTCGTCCACAACTCTCGCCGTCGTTCTCAGAGCTCCTCCCCTCATAATCTCCCCCCCCTTCTCCTCCTCCTCCTCCTCCTCCTCCTCCTCCTCCTCCTCCACCTGCCGACCCGCCCAAATCTCCGATGTCGAACTTTTTGGGGCAACGTGGGCCCCCGGAGGTCTGGACCCCTTCCCTGGGGCCAGTTTGTCATCCCGAATCGTTACTTGACGATGGGGCCCAGTGAGCTCCTCCTCCTCCTCCTCCTCCTCCTCCTCCTCCTCCTCCCTCCTCCTCCCTCCTCTCCTTCCTTCATCCTACCTCCTCCATAATCTCCCTACTCCCTCCCGGGGGCGACGGAAGCCGAAAACGCGCTAACGATGGCCAGAGGCCGCGCGTACGTCCCACGATTAACCGCTCGGGGCCACCTCCCGCTCCCCTCATCCCAAACCGGGGGGTCATTGCGGTCGCGGGTCCTTGGACCCCATCCAGGTGGGTGACCAATTCCCCGGCGAAATAGGAAATAATTGCCATCCTGCATCTGCCGGTCGATAGCCCCCCCTCCCCCGGGGGGTGCGCAAATCAATCGTGCCCTCTCCCGGAAGGAAGGGCCCGCGATCCGATTCGATGAGACGCCGCCTCCTGTCGCGCGAAGAGGGTTCTCGGGAGAGAGAAAAGAAGAGAGGGCGAGAGAGAGAGAGAGAGGTAGAATTAAGTAGAAACCGTACCGGGAACCTGATCCTACAGAGTGATGGGACGTAAATAGCCCCTGCTGGTGGAGGTTCAGTCAAAAACCGTCATGATATTAAGGACGGCCCCCGATAAGGAGGTCAAGGGTTTGGGGGGAAAAAGCCAATGTCGACACTTTTGCTGGGCGGGGCACGGCCAGCGAAGTCTGCCAAAGATGGGCCGAGAAAGGCGACAGCCGAAACGAAGGCGCCGACGACCGACGAAGGGGAAGGCGAAAGGGGACGGATTTGTAAAGGGGGGAGCGGAAAAATGAAAAAATGGGGGGGGGGGGGAAACGGAAACGGAATACGGGGCCGAAGGGGACGGATGTACATGCAACCTTGGAACATTGCTCGTCCTTACTATGAGGGTTGGCTGTACCACGAACCTGATCCTCCAGAAAGTTGAAGTAACAACCCTGAGGGCTTACAGGCGTAGTCGGGATGGCTCTAAAAAAATCCTTCACTGATATCGACGTTCGGACGTCCAGGTGCCACATCTGCATTCATTTAGCTCTCCGAAGGTCAGGGTCACTCCAGAGTGCTGACCTAACAACCCTGTGGACTTACAGGCCTAGTCGGGACGGCACTAAAACCTCGACTGAGATTGATGCACGGATGCCCAGGTGCCCTCCTACGAGCATTCCCTCTTCAATATCCTCCCCATGATCCGCCGGCCCCCTTGTGGGGCCACCAGGCTGTAGGCCCGTGATTCGCAGTTTCCTGTACCAGTTGTAGCTTGTAGTTTCCAGTGTTACAGTTCTGCTTATTGCTGATTACTGTAACTAGTTGATTGACCGCGCGAGGGGGGGGAGGCCCAAACCGGCTTTTTAGCACCCCCTGGGCGCGTTGTCTGAATTGCTGGGGGGGCTCGAAATCGACACCCCTCACGCAGATCCGCGGGGTCAGGGTCCAAAAACACAGGGGATTCGGTGCCACCCCTCACGCAGATCCGCGGGGTCAGGGTCCAAAAACACAAGGGGATTTGCCACATTTCTGAAATTCGGTGCCACCCCTCACGCAGATCCGCGGGGTCAGGGTCAAAAAACACATGGGATTTGCCACATTTCTGAAATTCGGTGCCACCCCTCATGCAGATCCGCGGGGTCAGGGTCCAAAAACACAGGGGATTTGCCACATTTCTGAAATCGGTGTGTGTTTTTTTTCGCCACCGCTTCACGCAGGATCCGCGGGGGACAGGGGTCGCAAATTTACACAGGGGGGAGATTTGCAAACTTTCTGGAAATTCGGTTTGCCACCCCTTCACGCACATCCATCCGACAAGGCGTCGTGGTATCGTGGTTCGTGGTGGGGGTAACCCAACCTGCGAGAACTCCCTCGGCCCTTTAATCGCAAGGTGTGGTAACCAAGCCCGTAAACCATACACGTCTTACCAATCGCCAGGTGTGGTAACCCCTCTTGTGATCAGTTGGTTTTGCTGATTGCGAATCGGCTTCGCATGAAGTTTCGATACTGCTTCACGACAGCGCCAAGGCCTCAGGACTTAGCTCTTCCATGGCCCATTCTCCGAGAGAGGGGGCCGGCGGCAGGGGGCGAAGCCCTTACGGAATAAGATCTTCTCCTGGCATGCTTCCCCTTCAACAACCGGCCACCACCCCTGGAGGGAATCTGGAGAGTTGGTGTGAACCAGCTCTGCAGCTAAGGCCAGGAACTTTTGCTTGACGTGTCGCGGCGGCCCGGCCCAGGCGGCCGGGCCCCCCCCCGGCGGCAAAACCGCGCGGGGGGCGGCGGCGGGGGCCCGGCGGCACGCTATGCCCCTCTATGCAGGCGAATAGAGTGTTTGCTGTGCGCTCGGAGGGACGGGAGGGCTGGGGTTCCAAAAAGGCCGTCCCCCCGTCCGTCGTCCCTCTCTTAGAAAACGACGAAAAGGATTGCAAAAAAAAAAAAAAAAAAAAAAAAAAAAAAAAACCCTTGAACGAAGGATTGCAAAAAACCTTCGTCCTTGAACGAAGGATTGCAAAAAAACCTCTTGAACGAAGGGTTTTTTTGCAATCCTCTTGAACGAAGGATTGCAATCCTTCGTCCAAAGGCGTCTTGTCCCTCTCCAGGGCCAGCTTTGTGTCCCGAGCTGTTTTGTTGACGGCCCCCGGGCCTGGCGAGGGCACCCAGAGGCAGAAGACGCAGCGAAAGCTCTCCAAGCTGGTGTTCTCGATTTGCTGGAGGTATGGGTTCATCCCTATTGTAAGTTCAAGGGAGGCCTCCTCCTCGTCCTCCTTTCGCACGCGCAAGGTGGGAGGGGACAGAAGGAGATGGGGAGGGGAGAAGAGGGAGGGAGGGGAGGAGGAGGATCAGGACCAGAGCTCCACGAGGACCTCATGTCTTGGTCAGCTTCAATTTGAAACTAGGCTCGGAAGAAAAACCCAGAATGAGTTCGGACTCAGGGCGGGTGCGAATCCAGGGCTACGCCGAAGGCAGGAGGAGGACGAGGAGGAGGAGGATGAGTGATGAGTGAATGGAGGAGGAGAAAGAGGAGGGAGTGAAGGAGGAGAAGGAGGAGGGGGAGGAGGAGCAGGCGGAGGGCGAGCAGGAGGAAGAAGGCGAGGATGTCCCTGTGCTACCTCTTTGCCCCCCTGGAAGGCCACGGGGAGGTCCGTCTCTGGCGCGCACCCTCGACGCCCGACTGGCCGCGTGGCCCAGCAGGGGCGCCTGACGGAGGCGCTCACGGGCAGCTCCTGGCGAGCTCTCTGGCAGGCAAAAGGTGGGCAAAGTAGGAGAGCGGGGGATGATGCTGCTGCTGCTGATGAAGATGAAGATGAAGATGATGAAGATGATGAAGATGATGAAGATGATGATGATGATGCTGATGGTGATGATGATGATGACGATGATGGTGATGATGATGCTGCTGCTGATGATGATGACGATGATGACGATGATGACGATGGTGATGCTGATGATGATGCTGAGGATGCGGATTCTGACGCTGATGATGATACTGATGCTGATGCTGATGCTGAGGATGCTGATGATGATGATGATGATGATGATGATGATGATGATAATGTTGATGATGATGCTGATGATGTATGCAACTGATGATGATGGTGGTGCTGCTGATGGTGATACTGATTCTGACGATACTTAATATTATGATGATGTTGATGGTGATGCTATAACTATGGCGATGGCGGTGACGAAGCCGATGATGCTGATGATGATGGTGCTGCTGATGATGATGATACTGACTGTGGGGTTGGTGGTGGTTATGATCGGGATGATGAGGAGCATAACGATGATGGTGACGAGGATGATGATGCTGACCAGCATGATGCTGCTGCTGAGGACGACGACGATGATGATGACGCTGATGCTGATGCTTCTGCTGATAATGAGGGTATAGCTGATGATGATGCTGATGATGATACTGATGATGATGACGATCCTTCTTCTGCTGCTGACGATGCCGATGAGGATGATGCTGATGATGATGAGGCGACGACCGAGGATGAGAACGAGGATGAGGATGTGGATGAGAATGCGGATGATGATGATGATGATGATGCTGATGATGATGATGAGGATGGTGATGCTGAAGACGATGACGATGATGTTGCTGACGATTATGATGATGATGCTGATGATGATGATGCTGCTGATGATGATGATGATGATGATGTTGGTGATGCTGACAATGATGATGTTGATGATGGAGGTGATGGCGGTGGTGATGACGATGGTGATGGTGATGGTGGTGGCGCGGAAAATGGTGATGACGAAGCCGATGGTGCCGATGCTGATGATGCGGAGGAGGAGGGGGAGGGGGAGGAGGAGGAGGCGGAGGAGGAGGAGGAGGAGGAGGAGGAGGAGGAGGAGGAGGAAGAGAAGGAGGAGGAGGATGAGGAGGAGGGGGAGGATGCTGATGATGATGATGAGGATGCCGATGCTGGTTGTGCTGATGATGATGCTGAGGATGGTGATGATGATGATGATGACGCTGATGCTGCTCATGCTGAGCATGATGATGCTGGCGATGTTGGCGATGACGAGGATGATAACGATGCGGAGGACTAAGCGGATGAGGAGGAGGACTAGGAACACGATGAGGCAGCTGATGACGATACTGCGGATGCTGATGCTGATGATGATGGCGACGAAGATGATGATGGCGACGAACATGCTGGCAATGATTCTGATGAGGCTGGTGATGATGCTGCTGATGCTGATGACGACTGCTGCTGCTGCTGATGCTAACGATGATGTCGATGTCGGTGATGATGCTGCTGCTGACGATGATGACCATGAGGACCATGCTGATGCTGGTGATGATGGTGCTGTTACTGCTGCTGGTGATGACGACGGTGCTGTTGCTGGTGACGATGAGGCTGAAGATGGCAATTGGGATGATGATGATGCTGCTGGTGATGGTGATGGTTCGGATGACGACGATGCTGACGATGATGATGCTCATGCTGATGATGCTGATGATGGTGGTGGTGCTGCTGAATAAGATGATGCGGGTGACGTTGGCAATGACGATGAGGATGCCGATGATGCTGATGATGATAATCCTGATACTGATGATGATGATGCTGATGATGATGATGATGATGCTGAAGCTCACGCTGATGCTGATGATGATAATGATGATGATGCTGGTGCTGAGGATGCTGGGAATGATGATGGTGATGCGGGTGGGAAGAATGCTTCGGTTACTGATGATGTTGACGATAGAGATGGCGATGCTGATGATGATGATGGCGATGATGCTGATGCTGATGATGATGGTGAGGATGATGAAGATTCTGCCATGGTGACGACGATGCTAATGATGATGATGCTGATGCTGATGATGATGATGCTGCTGCTGCTGAGGGCAGGGATGTTGACGTTGATGATCGTGATGGCGATGGCTCCCCTTACATAGAACGGGCGCATCGCGCACCGTCCCCACTCTTGATGATGTTGGTGATGATGCGGCTGATGATGTTGTTGATGGTGATGATGCTGATGATGATGCTGATGTTGATGATGATGGCGGTGGTAATGATGACACTGAGCCTGATTGTGATGCTTATGGCGGTGAATAGGCATATGACGACGTAATGCGATGGCGATGTCGACGATGCTGATGGTGACGGGGACGAGGCGAATGACTGAGGGGAAGACGAGGAAGAGGAGGCGTGTTATTGATGGTGGTGGTGATGGTGAAGGTGATGATGATGATTCTGCTGCTGCTGCTGATGATGCTGATGATCGTGGCGACGATGCGTAAGACACAAGCAAACTGCTGGCGGGGCAATAACACAATGCTGTCTGATCAACGTGGGATGGAAACGTGGTGGCACACTTGGTGACGGACTGCTTCCGCTGTTGGGTCTCAAATCATTTGGGGGAATACGGAGGACACCTATGTGGAGGAGTAGGAGTAGCCGGAATAGAGGAGCACAGATCAGCGAGGAAGCAGCGAGGCGGAGGGGGGAGGAGCAGCAGGGGGCAGGATGGAGGTAGCTCGAGGAAAAGGGGAAAGGAGAAAGGAGAGAGGGAGGAATGATGTGGATGGCAAGCAAGGTCAGAACGAGCAGGGATGGAGACGGATGGGGGACGCGAGGGGCAGTCGGAAGGAGGGAGAGCGGGATCGGCCTCTCCTTCTGCTCCGCCCTACCACCTCCACCACCTCCACCTCCTCCTCCTCCTCCTCCTCCTCCTCCTCCTCCTCCCCATCCTCCTCGTCCTCCTCCTCGCCCTCCTCGTCCTCGTCCTCCGCCACCTCCTCCTCCTCCTCCTTCTCCGCCTTGTCCTCCTCCTGCTCCTCCTTCTTCTCCTGGTCCATCCCTCCTCTCCTCCCAGGGCCCTGGCCTCTCCCTTGCAGCTGCTGCCCTCCCGACGCGCCTGCTTCGGCTGGGAGGAGGATGGAGGATTCACGCCCCTTGCCGCTCCAATCGGAGGAGGAGGAGGAGGAGGAGGAGGAGGAGGAGGAGGAGGAGGACTGATGATGGTGATGCTGGTGATGATGGTGATGCTGATGATGATGCTGCTGATGCTGATGATGATGATGGTTGTGCTGATGATGCTGATGATGATGGTGATGATGATGCTGCTACTGCTGATGATCATGCTGGTGATGATCATGGTGACTATGCAAAGGACACAAGCGAATTTCTGGCTGGGCAGTGGTACAATGCTGTCTAATTCACGCGAGATGGAAGCATGGTGGCGCACGTGGTGACGGACTTCTTCCGCGGGATGAGGATGAGGATGATGATGAGAAGCATGAGGAGCGAGGACGAGGAGGATGAGGAGGCGGGAGAGGAGGATGCGCTTTTGGGTCTCAAATGATTTGGGAGAGTACGGAGGGCACCCATGTGGATGAGTAGGAGTTGCTGGAAGAGAGGAGACCGGATCAGCGAGGAAGCAGCGAGGTGGATGGGGGAGGAGCAGCAGGGGGCAGGGTGGAAGTGACCCCAGGGAAAGGGGAAGGGAGAAAGGAGGGAGGGAGGAATGATGTGGATGGCAAGCAAGGCCCGAACGAGCAGGGATGATGGAGGTAAAGGGGGATGAGGGACGCGAGAGGCAGCAGGAGGGAGGGATGCTCCGCCTTCCCACCTCCACCACCTCCACCTCCTCCTCCTCCTCCTCCTCTTCCTTCTCCACCTCATCCTTCCCGTCCTGCTCGTTTTCGCCCTCCGCCACCTCCTCCTCCTTCTCTACATCGTCCTCCTCCTGCTTCTCCTTCTTCTCCTGGTCCACCCCTCATCTCCTCTCAGAGCTCTGGCCTCTCTCTTGCAGCTGCTGCCCTCCCGAACCCCCCTCCTCCCCTTTGGGCGCCTGCTTCGGCTGAGATGGGATGGAAGATTCACGGCCCTTCCCCGTCCAATCGGAGGAGGAGAAGGAGAAGGAGGAGGAATGATGATGGTGATGATGGTGATGATTCTGATGGTGGTGATGATTCTGTTTATACTGCTGATGATGCTGGTAATGATAATGATGATGCTGATGATGATGATGATGCTGATGATGATGATGATGATGATGGTGGTGCTGATGCTGCTGAATATGGTGATAGTGATGATGATGCTGCTGATGATGATGATGATGATGATGATGATGATGATCATGATGATGCTGACCATGATCATGATCATGGTCCATGGCGATCATTCGTGGTGATGATACTGCTGCTGATGCTTATGATGAGCATGGTGACTATGCGGAGGACACGGGTACATTGCTGGCTGGGCAATGGCACAATTCTGTCTAATCAACGCGGGGTGAAAACCTGGTGACGCACGTGGTGACAGACTTCTTTCGCGGGAGGAGGATGAGGATGATGGTGAGAAGCATGAGGAGCGAGGACGAGGAGGATGAGAGGCGGGAGGGGAGGATGCGCTTTTGGGTTTCAAGTGACTTGGGAGAATCCGGAGGACAATTATGTGGATTAGGAGTGGCCGGAAGAGAGGAGCACGGATTAGGGAGGAAGCAGCGAGGTGGAGGGGGGAGGATCAGCAGGGGGCAGGGTGGAGGTGGATGGAGGATGGAGGATGCACAACTCTTCCCGCTCCAATAGGAGGAGGAGGAGGTGGAGGAGAAGCAGGAGGAGGAGACGGACGAGGAGGAGGAGGAGGAATGATGCTGTTGATGCTGATGCTGATGCCGATGATGATACTGATGCTGATGATGATGATGACGATGCTGATGATGTTGATAATGATGAGGATGATGTTGATGATGATGA